TTTATTTTTTTCGGCTTAGTAAATAGCGGACGTTCGTCCGGACTTTTGTTTTAACGAACGGTTTTCACCGCTTAGCCGCAGATAGCGAACGTTCGTTCGTTAGCCCGTTCATCAGTTTTTCTTTTTCTCGGATTTTCCGCGGTTATTTTCGATCGCGATTTCTGATCCGATTTTCGTTTTAGTATACATTTTCGCTCGTTTACCAGAATCAGGCGATTCAAGTGCCAGGAGTTTCGTCTCAAAACTCTCTTTCTGTTTAACCAATTTAAACAAGGTTTTGCTGCTGTAAAATTTGACTTTAGTTCAGATTAGTAAACGAAACTTGTTTCTTTTGCCATTTGAGTTTTGTTGCTTCGTTTGATTTGATTCTTTTTGCAAACCGGAGTTCTTAAGTTGAACTTTCTGGTTAGATATATTATTTGAGTTTTACCTGTGCCTTGCTTGATTGCTTATTGTATGCTTGTTTGATTGCGATAGAGTACCCGGAGTGCGAAGAGTGCTACATCGAGTCTCTAGGTTTCACGGATCATCAGCAAGGCAAGTAACACTTTGATCATACCTCTTTACTACCCAGTTTTATTGCATTAGATCAATCCTCAAACACTTGCACGGTTAGAATCTGATAAATTGTGGGTTGGGAAGTAGTTGATGAGGTAGGAACCTATTGTGCTGTTTATTATCAAACCCTTGGGAGTTACTTCTACGTTATGCTTATATTGCTCTGCTCTGCTCGTAGACGTGGATTGGGTTTGAGCGTATTCATGACAGCTGTGAGTATTGTTAAGTAATGGTTAACTTAAGGTGACAACTTTAATACACATCTGGGTGGATTGAGGCACCTGGGGAATTCCAGTGATTGCCTGTATTTTTGGAAATCCCAGGGTACCGTGTGATTTTCCTATGGACCGCCACCCAGACTCAAAGGGATCATAACATTATTCTTGCTAGAAACTTCTGTGTGCAACCACATGCCATTATGGGCTCTCGCATAGTTGAGTAAGTTGTGGGAAACCTTTCCATGATGGGCTAGCAGATGTAGGGGATTGTAGGTGTACCGGCCTATCTATCATTTAAGGGGACCTCTTCGGAAAGACTGTGTCTCGATCATCCGTTTCTCAAACATCATGTAGTGCAAGAAATCCAACGGAGGAGATCAAGTCTTGTGGGGAAAAGTGTACAAATCTCTGTAGAGTGTATAAACTAATCATGATTAGCCGTGTCCCCGGTTATGTACATCTTGAGTATCTAGTTCTTGGATTATCATATGGATCTCATCACTTTTTAATATAATTTGATTGGGTTAATGATTACTTTTAATTGGGATTGAGAGGGGGTTTACCTTCTCAATGTTTTCAACCAACTTTGTAGTTAAGTAAAATATATTCCTTTGCAGTTGGGAAAAATTGGCTTTTCGCAAAATATATTAACCATACAGCCTCCACCAGCCATATATGCATGTAGTGATAGCTTTACATTGTTCATTACTCTCTTGTGTTACATTGCCAGCATATTCCATGTGCTGACCCGTTCCGAGCTGCAACGTATCATATTGCAGACTTTTCAGACGACGAGTAAGAAGCCTTAGGTCGTGGTCTTTCACTCAGTGATGCCGTTGGAGTTGATGGACTCACTTTATCTTCCAAGCCTTCCGCTGTTATCGTGTTAGATGGCCTTAAGCCATATTTATTGTAATAAGTTCTCTTTTGAGACATTCGATGTAATAAGTGTGTGATTGTTACTCTGTTGTAAATCCTCAAGGACTGTGCGTGTCAGCATTACCGATCCAGGGATGACACTAATGCACAGAGATCGGACTGTTTGAGGTCTGGTCGCTACACCAGTTTTGATTGGTTTTTGCGTTTTTTCTCTTTCTTTTTTTATTTCTCCTTTCATTTATTTTGTTTAGTTCCCTGTTCCCATTTTTCTTTCATTTTTCCTTTTTTATTTTTATTATATTTACTTTTATGGATTTTTTTCAATTTCGCGAACATTTTTTGAAAATCACAAGCAATGTCATTTTCATGAATTTTTTTATTTCATGAACCATTTTTAAATCCGTGAACTTTTTTCGAATCATGAACTGATTTGAAATTCATGAATGAATCTTTTCAAATCTGTGAAAAAAATTCCAGTTTGCCATTTTTTTTAAATCATGAACTTTTTAAATAAATCAACTTTCTTCGAGTTCATGAATACCTTTTTAGTTATACTAACTTTTTTCCCAATTCATAACTTTTTTCCAAGAGCCACAGTCAACCGGTCTACCATGAGAGGAAGCGAGCAACCTGGCGCCCACGAGCGAATTAATGGTTGTTGTTGGGCCAACCACGTGAGCTGGCGCATGAGCGCCGCTTCGGTAGCGGGCACACTAGGCGTGGAATAGGAGTTCCCTTGGATACCCCTCTTGTCTTGCAGTTGGCGCTTAGTACTGTCGAGGATGGGCCGGGCCACTAGACCCAGTGACCATGGTAGGCCTTGCATAGACGAGCTGGACGCTTAGCTCGCAACGAGTTACCTTGGTCACTGCATGGTGGGGTTGCTCTCTCAAGGATGCTGACATCGCCCCCTTCTTGCTTTGCGGCTTCCCACCAAGCCTCAGCAGCTCGGGAGCAGGTGTGGAGCTTGAGTTTGTCTTCCCACGATTTCACGGACAAATACTCCCTCCGTAAACTAATATAAGAGCGTTTAGATCACTACTTTAGTGATCTAAACACTTTTATATTAGTTTATAGAGGGAGTACATGTCAGTGTTGGTGATGCTCTAATGCTACATCAATGGATTCGTCCCAATCCAGCTGGACCTGGGTTAATGCAGTATTTTGATCATGTGCGCTCGCTCAGTTGTTTCAAATACACCTAGCTAGTTCTGGGTTTTTTCAGTTTCTTTTTCTTACTAATGATGCTTGTTTCTATTTTCTAATTTGATTTGCCTGCTACGCAAACTGATCGACAGATTGAATTACACCCGTTACCCATTGCAAATTTGCACAGACACAAACTAGCATTCCATTCTTCACTTATTCCACGAATGCTGTTTGCTGGCAGTTTTAATTGCCAGGCGAGATGGAATGATGTTAGTTTTTGCCTCAATTTTTTATTCTTCCTGAAAACTGCCATTTGTCTCTGAAGAAAATGGCATGCGCCTGTGAAGAATCTGCCAAGAAAAACGTTCGTAAATATCACCCCTCACAGCGAACTCGTTCGCCAGCTATCAGGGGCCCAAAAACTGAGCTAGTTCTGTGTTTTTCCAGTTCTTTCTTTCCTTCTAATGCCTTTATTTCCCCGCTGCTTAGCCCTGCTACAAAACTTGACAACGGATTTCATTCCATGACACAAGCTTACATTCCATTCGTTACCCCTACTCCATGTACGACACACATGCAGCTTTATTGAGCTCGAACTGAAACACGAGAGCAGAGATGAATATGACGAAGGCCGGTTCAGTACTTGGTGCATTTGTTGGTGGAGCCATTATCGAGGTGGAGCACGCAGCCCTTGCCGTCCTCGGGCGCGCACATGCAGGCGCACCCGTTGAGCTTCTGGCCGGGGTAGTTCTTGCAGGTGATGTACCCTCCCTGGATGCAGTTGCCAGGTTCCCGGGTCGATGGGGTCGAAGGATGGGAACGAGGGTCGAGGATCACCGACTACCGATAGTAGGGGACGATGGGGGTATACATCTTTAGACCGAACCGGTCGATAGGCGGAACGTGACCCCCAACAATTTGGGAACGATGACCCCACAACGATACGGCAGGTGGAGGAACATGACCCTTTTTTTTTGCATGGTAATACGTGTCTCATTCATATCAGAAAGAATAAAGTACAAGTTACGTAAAGACCGACATGACAAAACTGAAAAGATAGCAGAACATCTCTGAGATTGACACCAACGCCCGTCACCTGCCTCCGGCACCACCACAGCAGCCACCGAAGAAAAGAATGACGAATCACCTCCTCACCTGAGCTCGACGCGGCTCCATCGCTGATATGCAGCTTTGCGGACCTCGAAGGTGGCTCACCAAAAGTGAAGCCCTTACCGTTGAACGAATCAGACCGGGGCAACACCCCGGACACGCCATCGAACTCCAGATCTGACACCCCACTATGACTAAAACGCCGAAGGAGGAAACCATATCTGCCATCCACGATGCACGAGCCCAGCACATGCTCCGTCTTTCAGATGTCGTCGATGCAGACCACAATCTGCATCCGCTCCTGGACTACCTCCCAAGCTCCGCGTTGACGCTGGAGCAAACGCCATTGCAACGGCGGAGCCCGAGGACACAGGTCCACCATGAGGATGCCGCCGCCGCCATGCCATCCTTGCTTGAACAGTCTGGTTTCCAAATCCATCCCAAACCATAGGACCAATGGCCTCGTCAGGTAAGGAAGGATCCGAAGAATCTTTATTCAGCATTGCCATCGTCGCCGCCGAAGCAAAGACGATGAACAACCTAAAAACCTAGACTACGAGAGAGTAAAAGCGATCCACACGTGTGGATCCGGCGACCCCCCTCACCACCAGCGACCGAAGTCGCCGACGGAGGGGAGCTGCCGGAGAGCGGTGTTGGAAGATCGGCCTCCCCTAGCGGCGGCTAGGGTTCCAGCCGTCAGGGATGAGAGGAAAACAGGAAAGAGTAGGTGCAACGTGACCGTCCTTACACGCAAGAGGAAAGTCAGTAGCTCAGGTATTAATTATCACTTCATCTTAGGAACTGTTTGGTATGTACCAAAATCTGCCTCACCAATTCGTGCAAGGTTCTAGCATCGTCCATGATTGGAAATGAGGTTTGTTCAGATAATGAACTAATGAGTGCAGAATGTGAACAAATATTTGTCAAATTTTTGCGAGGAACATAAATGCGTGCAATATCTAGTCAAGCGTACAGGTCTCCCCGGCAGTATTACAGACACAGAAGTTGCACGTCAATATAACAGTGCAGTTGACTTCCATTTTCCTGCAGATCTCACTGAGATGGATCTTCGAGCAAGGAGCGAGCATGGTAGCCAAGAGTATGAAAAAGGAGAGGCTTCAGGAGAACCTAGGAATCTTTGACTGGGAACTGACGGACGAAGACCGGTTCAAGATTACTCGGATACGGCAGTACAAGAAGGTCACGGTGCTGGCGATCCTCTGCCCTGAAGGTGTCCCTGGCGTCGATATGTCGGAGGTTGATGTGGTTGAAACGTAGGTGCCAAATTGTGGAGATGCATGCGCCATTTAAACACTGCGAGTTACTCCTGTAATTTGGTGAAGATGCATGCGCCATTTATGCACTCCAAATTACAAAGATTTGGTGGTGAGATGCTTCTGGTGGTGCTACCTGTGCCCTACCTGGATGAGGTCCTGCTTGGCATCATCAATTGTGATGATCCTGACGGGTTCCCCTACAGTGCTGGTGGGTAGCCGTCAGTCGTCATTCACTGTGTCACAAATGGACTTGGCCACAGGCCACAACATCTTCGGTTGGCTGATCTTTCCTTGTCTCGCGCCAGCATCATCTTCTCTTCTCTCCAGGAAGAAAGAAAGACTTTTTTTACGAAGAAGGAAGAAAGAAAGACTAGCAAAAGTTGCTCCTAGAAAATCGACGAAATTTAAGCTTGGATGGATAGTAGAAGGCTCCTGTTTGTCCCACAGGCAATCCAAATTTCTTGTGGCGAGCGCGACAAGTCAACAACTGAGGTGGGTCCTGGTTAGGAGATGGATGTATCATGTATGACAGATATGTGGGCCTCACAGCTATTTGTGTGTGTGTGTGTGTGAGGAAGAACTGGGCCTCAGAATTACTACGAAAGTATGGCGGAGAACGAAACATATGGTACAAGAAATTGTCTAGCTCAGCTTAGTCCATGACCTTCTTAAAAAAAAGCTTTGTCCATGTGTTCTGGTGACTAGAGTAGTTCACAACTATCTACTCCTACACCGCACAAGGATCCAGTTTCATTGCAGAGACAATTGATGCCCGCTGGAAGAACCAAAATCCACCTCTCTGCCTTTGAAAAACGGACGAACAGCTACGTAAGAGCATCTTCAGCCCCGCTCATAGGGAGGCCTCCTTAGGCGATTTTTTCGCGCCGGCGTCGAAAAAACGGACCAGTCGCATTTTCAGGAGCCTGATTTTCGCCGGCCTGGGCCAAAATCAGCGCCAGCGGACCCAGGCCGAACCCGGCATCCAGGGGCGAGCGGTTTTGGCGCGAAAAAGCCGCGGGCCAGCCGCGTCAGTGACACCGCGGCTCGTCCTTCCCCAACGCCTCGGATTCCCGCGCGGGGAATCAATGGTAAGGCTGCCGCCAGTCAGCCTTACCATTGATTCCTCACGGGTGGCGCATCACGGGACGGCACGCCGACGCCTCCCTTCCCTCGCACGCGTACACACGAGCGCGGTGCGGCTATATAAGCCGGTGGACTCGCTCGCCTGTGGCCACACAAGCCCCACCCTCGCCGCCAAGCTTTACCTCTCCCGAGCGCCACCGCCGAGCTCTCCCTCTCCCGTGAGCCGCCGCCCAGCCCCTCCCTCTCCCTCCCCCTCTCACGATGGCCGAGCGTTTTGCCGGAGACGAGGCGGCGGCCAACGGCTTCGACCGCCGCAGTCTTCGCGAACAGGAGTCGTGGCTCATGTTCCAGGCGAACATCCCGACGCCACCGGACATGCGCGCCGGGCCGACGGGCTGGAAGCTCAGCAATGGGGGAGTGCCCATTCCCCCGTTGCCCGATGCCGTGATTAAACCCTCCTACTTCGCCGACGAGGTCGAGGTCGTGCGTGCCTCCCTCATCGACGCCCAGCTCTTCCTCCCCCAGTACGCCGCTGACAACCACGCGGCTTGGGCGGCGTACTTCCAACGCCGTCAGCAGCAGCGGCTGGCGTCCACCAATGGCGCGGTCGTGGACGGCGGCCAGAAGAACATCGAGGGGCGCCACCTGTGGTGGGGTGTCCCCGGCCGCACACTCGAGGGCGTGCTGACGCACCTCGAGGGCGGCAACAACCCGCCATTAGCGTACCCCCCGGCGAGGGCGGCCGCGGCGCCCCGCCGATGCGACGGGCCATGGGCGCCAAGGAGGTTCGGCTCCTCCTCCTCTTCCTCCTCGTGCTCTTCCTCGCACTCCTCCGGCACTCCGGCGCTGCTCGGCATCAAGGTCGAGCCCGCGGCGGAGACGCCGCTCGGCCGGCGCACTCGCAGCGTCGGCATCGTTATCAACGAGGGCGGCCGGCGCGCCTCCTCATCGGCTCCTCCTCCGCGCTTCGTCAAGCCAAAGACGGAGCCGGGGCTCGCGCCGGTGAAGGCGGAGCCGGGTCTCCCCGCCGTGAAGACGGAGCACAGCGAGGTCAAGCTCAACAACGACGCGGCCCTTGAATGGGCACGTCAGGACTCCCTGAAAATGGCGAGGGAGCGCCAGTGCGCCGTACTGCGACGCTTCGCGGAGCGCCGCCGGGGCCGCGAGGAAGGAGGAGTCGTCATCATCGCCGACAGCGACGACGACGACGCGCCGCCGCCGTCAGCAATCCGCCATGGCGACGCCGGGTCCAGTAGGGGCGCCCGCGTTAAGGAGGAGAAGGCCATGATGACGACGGCGGTGACGATGGCAGCGACGACGGCGACTACCCGACGTTCAACCAGTTTCTTTTTTAGATTAGTTTATATATTTTTATGTAATAAAAATTCGTGAACTTTGTTGAATTATATGCCCAAGTTGAACCAAATTTGTCGTGTTTAGTCGAATTTCGCCGAACTTTGCTATATACTTTTATTTTTTGAACGCGTCTGGGGACCGCTCTGGAGCCGGCGGTTGGAGACCAACTCACCCCAGTCCAATTTTTTGCGCCGGCTCACCCCAGGCGGCGGCGATTTAGGCGCCCCGGGGGGCCAACGGCTGGCTGGAGATGCTCTAAGTCCTTATGTCACTCGGGCCAGTATAAAAGCCGGTGGCTCGTCCTGTACTTGAACCACAAGACAAGACAAGCTCAATCGCTCTGCAGAGACGACGCATGGCCTCGACGACAGCGGCGGTGCCGGAGGTGGCGCTGCGGTCCGGCGGCGCGAGGCCCATGCCGGCCGTCGGCATGGGCACCGCCAAGTTCCCGGCGGTGGCGGAGACCACCGTGAAGGCCGTGCTGGAGGCCGTGGAGGTGGGCTACCGCCACTTCGACACGGCCGCCATGTACGCGACGGAGCGGCCCCTGGGCGAGGCCCTCGCGGAGGCGGTGCGCCGCGGGCTCCTGGCGTCCCGGGAGGAGGTGTTCGTCACGTCCAAGCTCTGGTGCACGCAGTGCCACCCTCAGCTCGTGCTTCGGTCCCTCCGGGAGAGCCTCCAGTAAGCTCGGTCCATCTAGAGTAGACTTTTGCCCGTTGACTTCTGTTGATCTTGATCAATCGTCTCGGCGTTTGTGCTTCGTTTCTGAAGGAACCTGCAGATGGAGTACGTGGACCTGTACCTGATCCACTGGCCGATCAGCCTGAAGCCCGGGCCGGCGGTGTTCCCGGTGAAGCGGGACGACGCCGTCCCGTTCGACTTCGAGGGCGTGTGGCGCGCGATGGAGGAGTGCCACCGCCTCGGGCTCGCCAAGGCCATCGGCGTCAGCAACTTCACCACCAGCCACCTCCACAAGCTACTCGCCGCTGCCACCGTCCCTCCTGCAGTCAACCAGGTTGCTGGATGTTACGAGCTCCTACGAGATTACGAATACTGGTCTGAATGTCTTAGCAAGACGATCCACCGTCACTGTAACTCTGTGTATCATCTGTAGGTGGAGATGAACCCGGTCTGGCAGCAGAGGAAGCTGAGGGGGTACTGCGCGGAGAAGGGCATCCACGTCGCGGCCTACTCGCCGTTGGGAGGGCAGAATTGGTCCGGCGACGGAAACGCCGTGCTGGACTCCGAGGTGCTCGCGGAGATCGCCAGGGCCAGAGGAAAGACCGTCGCACAGGTAACCGTAACCGTAGTGTACACGCCTCGTTTCTCCTAGCAACTGCTCGGAATTACGACATGCAGTCCGTATGACACCAACCGATTCCTCTTTCTTCTCATTCAGGTAGCGCTGAGGTGGATCTACGAGCAAGGGGTGACCCCGATCGTCAAGAGCTTCAGCAAGGAGAGGCTCAAGGAGAACCTCGGGATCTTCGACTGGGGGCTCGCCGACGACGACCTGCGCAAGATCGGCCAGATTCCGCAGAAGAAGATCGTCAAAGCTGCAGGCATGCTGTTCTCGGCAGAGGGCGAGTTCACGTCGGTTGACCTCGCAGACATGGAAATTGTCGAGGAATAAAATAGGCACTCAGAAAGTGAGAGTACCTGCTTCGCTGTGTGACGTAGTAGTAAATTACAGTAGTAGCTTACTTTGAGGGTGGGGATAAATAAGAGCATCTGCAATAGTCTTTATGATAGATTTCTTGATACAAGGTCCACATCAGCAGTCAACCGTGTATCATACGAGTTCTCTAATGAAGCATATGTTAGTCTGATGGAACCACGCATATTAAATCAATTTAAATAAACTGATGACCAACCAGGTCCGGCCAGGAGCCACAGAAATGAATGTAGTTACCTCCGAGCTTGTCCCTGGAACGTTGGTTCATGATCATACGATCCCATTCTCTCTCTTCTTTTATTTTATGCCACGTCATTAAAAGAGTCTACATGGTAGATTTACCAACGATGATCACACGACCATTGGAGATGCCCTAAAGGAGTGATCAGGCCCACTTTCCAATAGTATTCATCATCTGTTAAGGCAGGAGTATAAAGAACACTAGAAGTAAAAATTAAATTTAGATCCGTAGACCACCTAACGACGATTACAATCAATGAAGCGAGCCAAAGACGTGCCGCCGTCATTGCTCGTCCCTCACTGTAGTCGAGAATTCTTGTTATTGTAGACAGTTGGAAAGTTGTCGTACTAAGACCCAATAGGACCAGCACATCAGAATAGCAACCGCCGTCGATGAAGAGAAGCGCAGATCGAAATGATCCAATTTGAAGACACGCGAACACTGACGAACAAAAATCGGATCTAAGTGGATCCATCGAAGATAACTGCCGACCGAATTCCGTGAGATCCACCGAAGACACATCTTCACACGTCTTTCGATAGCGCTAGGCGCACCATCAGAACAAAAGCTAGGCGAGAAGAACATTATTCCAACTTCAAATAGTCGTCCCCGTCTCATTTTCATGAAAAGGACACAAACTCTAAAGAGACATAAAAAAAAATACCTAAAAATGGAGTAGGAGGGGCCATGGAGGACGAAGCCGATCCGTGACGCCGCCGACGGGAGGCGAAAAATCCCCGATTACCACGCGCGAATCACAAAATCCCTGATGACCACGTGCGAGTCGCACGAAGCAAAGAGATTCTCTCTTTTTTTTGCGAGGTGAAGCAAAGAGATTCAAGGCGTACCTGACTTGTTCTTTTTTTTTTTAATTCTGAAATTCGACGTGACTTGTTCTCTGTTCATTGTGCTAAATCATCTGTTCATTGAGCTGCAGGTAAATCCGTTGTATTTCGACTTGGTGAATTGCAGCTTCATTTTCCACGTAAAAATCATTTGAAAACTCAAATTCATTTGAAAACTTGGTGAAATAGGAAAAAGGTCCAGTTACAGTCGGTCGGTAACGGAATTACGTGACTCTTACACACAAGCTATTAGTGACTTGACATCAAAACCGGTTCAATGCTACTGTTTCCTAACGGTTGAACCTGCTACTGTTTTCCAACGGTTGTACCCAAAGTTCATATACCCCTGATCCTTCACTCGCTCGAGAATGCGTGCCATTTGGATTATGTTGTAGCTTGAAATATAGCCTGCAATTTTTTTTAAAGAGTTCTTCAGTTACAAATGCTAATATTATGGCAATTTCAAATTGCCCATAATATTGCGCACACTTCCCTGGGATGTGCGCCTTCAATTTGGGATGAGCCCCGACTAGCGGTTTTCAAATAAATTCATTATACAAGTAGGTCGTGACAGATTGAAAGCTAAATGAATCATACTCCCTCGATCCAAAATATAATGTGCCCTTGGCTTCTGCCTTCAACTTTGACCATAAATTTGATCAATGAGACCGATTGCGGTGAGAGCAAAAAATATATAATCAAAAACTTTGTTTGAATACGAATTCACTCGTATAATTTTCACTCCCGCAGCAGTCGGTCTCGTTGATTAGATTTATGATCAAAGTTGAACATCGGAATGCGCGGGCGCGCTATATTTTAAAATGGATGGAGTATGTCACAATAGGCTGGCAAACGGCCAAGAAAAATATATTTCATCCTAGTCATAAAAGCAATGTTCTTCCATTCCAGTAGCATTTTTGAGAATCACCCTACATTCAAGAACCACATCAAATCTTTATTTTTTAGTGACTCCTACCATCTAATCTTTTATTTTTATCATTGCTACATTTTATATGACATCTATAGTTGTGGAATAAGATAATTATGTGTATCATCTGACGCAAAAGCCGGGAATCTACATTCTTTAAAGAATAAAATACAACACTAGTTCTAAAACTATTCAAGGGATGTTAAGTTAATCCTAATACTATGAAAATGCACATATGGATCCTGAAGGTTTGCTAAGTGTGTCACTCGTAGTCTTATTCATGTTGCATCAACTTTGACTTGCATGGGTGGCAGGTTCACCACTGCCACGTGGTAACTGTTTGCACAAAACCCCACAAAAGGTCATCCCCTCTAATTTTGTGGTCCCTCTTTTTGCATAAAACCTATGTGGATACCGCTAGCCATCAATTTGATCAAGCCATCCCTCCCGGTCTTGCTCTCCCACGTACGCGAGGGCCCAGACCCCCTCCCCAAACGGCGGTGGGTGCCTCCCCGAAGGGCACGGTGTCGACAGTGCACACGGGAGGGTGGTGGCAGCAGCAAGCGCGCGGGTAGGCTCTAACCTCATTCCTCCTCCTTTGCCACCGACGCAAATGTTTGGACGGACCCCTCCCCACTTCCTGCCCAACACAGAGGATCCTTCCTGGATGGCGAAGGTAGATGTGTTAGAGTGGTTCCAATGGTGTGTCGAAGGAGCTCACTCATGACGTTAAAGCGCCGAGGTGGACCGTGGCCCTCAAAGGTGGAGAGTAAGGCAAGGGAGAGGATCTACGCAAGGAGGAGGGCACAAAATTAAAAGAGGTCACCTTTTGTGGGGAGGGGGGGGGGGGGTTGTGCAAAAAGTTGCCGCATGGAAGTAGTTAGACCGCCACCCGTGCAAGTGTTTCTTACTCTTTTTCAAAACTAGATGATATTTACATGAGTTTTGTTTGCATGAACAATAATATTTAAATTAATAATATATTGCATATGTTTGATCACATGACAAGTGTACCCATTAGTTCAAAAAAGGCCCATAGATGTTTTTTCCTTCTAAAAAGGAATATAAACCCTCACCTTTACATCGGTTGATGCACACAATCATATATTATTGATTATTAAAAAACAATGCCAAGCATTGGTGCCGAACAAATCAGCTAACAAAAAAAACAATGTCATCCGCATAGGACAAGCCTCGCGACAGTATCTTCAACTCCTACCACAAAACATACAAAACAATATATTAGCAGACACGGGGTGCAACGCTCCAAGACATCGCCTTCACGAAGGAACCACCGCTTATGTGTCGATGTTGGCTGGTCAAACCACATCATACGAGGTGCTATCAACCCGTGAAGCAAATCTTAGAACCAATACCTTCAAGAATGTAACAACACATAGTCGTTGAAGTTGCCTTCAACAAAAGAGCTAGATCATGAGTCTACACACGGAGAAAATACATCCATGATGTCTGCCGCTGTTGTCGTCGTCCACCACTCTATCAGCCTCTCACACAAAATCAGTCAACCAAAGGAAAAATCATCGGAAGGCATGTCACCATCGCATCACTTCCAAACACCACCACACTGCCATTCAGTCGATGGTTGTCATGCATGACATAGCAGTCGCTAGATATGCCACTTCGATGGCAAAGTGAGAAAGGGTCCGCTCAGGCCCACTATTGAGCCTGAACTGGCCACAGTAGCTTTCGCTAGCACCGGTAAATGAGAGGAGAGTCATACACAACATTCCCATAAGATCGAGCTGATGATCGATGCATCGCGTCAGATCTGCAGGATCCGACAAGCCTTGCCGCCACTATGCTTTGCACAAGGCCGCATCCGCGTTGCCATCGATCGGCTCCGAGACACCATGTTGGCACCGCTGCCACTACAACGGTCATGAGCGGTGGAGTTTCCAAGGCCGAGATGACAATCCTCCTCTGCCCCCTCCCCCCCGAATTTTACGAGCAACAACCACAAATTGTCGCATGACTCCTTGTCGTGTGTGCCTCCTGCTCATGTGGATAGACGCAGTCCAACAGGATGAAGACTCACCGACATCCACCTCAGCCTGAGGGTGTGCAATGAAATGATTGGGGTGAAATCACCACCACCAGGGGCTAAATTTTGTGTTTTGACCCTTTTGGAGAAGTTGTTCGAGGCCTGACCCTAGTTTGCAAAAATTTCGGGATATAACCCTTTTCCTATTGCCAGGGGGTATGGTGGTAGGGTATAGCAGCCTACCGTCAAGGCCCCTTGAGGGAGTCCTGGACTAGGGGGTCCTCGGGTGTCCGGACAAATTGTCATGGGCCAGACTGGTGGGCCATGAAGATACAAGGCAGAAGACCTTCCCCTGTGTCCGGATGGGACTCTCCTTTGCGTGGATGGCAAGCTTAGTGTTCAGATGTATTATTTCATTTCTTTGTAAACCGACTTTGTACAACCCTAGACCCCTCCGGTGTCTATATAAACCGGAGGGTTTAGTCCATGGAGGCTAAGAACAAATCACATAGGCTAGACATCTAGGGTTTAGCCATTACAATCTCGAGGTAGATCGACTCTTGTAACTCCTATACTCATCAAATACAATCAAGCATGACATAGGGTTTTACCTCCATTAAGAGGGCCCGAACCTGGGTAAACATCGTGTCACCCTCGTCTCCTCTTCCCTTCGATCCTCAGACGCATGCTTCGGGACCCCCTACCCGAGATCGGCCGGTTTTGACACTGACATTGGTGCTTTCATTGAGAGTTCTGCTGTGCGGTCGACAGAAGGTTCGATGGCTCGTTCTATTATCAACAACAATGTTGTTTCCGGGGAAACTTTCCTCCCCGGCCAGATTTTTGTGTTCGGCGGCTTCGCTCTGCGTGCCAACTCGATTGGTCACCTCGAACAGATCGAAAGCTACGCCCCTGGTCATCAGATCAGTTTCGGGAACCTAA